ATTTAAGCTTTCTTCATGTCCTTCCTGTTATGAGAACTTCTTTCTTTCTTTTTTCTCTCTTTTTTTTAATTTCAGCATATTATGGGGGTACAAATGTTAAGGTTACATATATTGCCCATGCCATGTCAGAGCTTCAAGCATGACCATCCCCCAAATGTTGCACATCTCACTCATTATGTTTGTATATACCCATCCCCTCCTCCCCCCCTCGCACCTGCCTGTCACCCGATAAATGTTATTCCTATATGTCCAGTTAATACCAATTTGCTGGTGAGTACATGTGGTGCTTGTTTTTCTATTCTTGAGATACTTCACTTAGTAGAATGGGATCCAGCTCTACCCAGGAAACTACAAGAGGTGCTATATCACCATTGTTTCTTAAAGCTAAGTAGTACTCCATGGTATACATATATCACATTTTATTAATCCACTCATGTATTGATGGGCACTTGTGTTGTTTCCACAACTTTTCAATTGTGAATTGTGCTGCTATAAACATTCAAGTGCAGGTGTCTTTTTCATAAAGTGACTTCTAATCTTTTGGTAGATGCCCAGTAGTGGAATTGCTGGATCAAGAGAACTTATTTCTTTTTAGCACTTAGTGATATTCTATTGTATGGGTGTACCACTGTTTATTTACCCATTCACATATTGAAGGACATCTTGGTAGCTTCCAAATTTTGGCAATTCTGATAAAGTTGCTATAAACATCTGTGTGCAGGTTTTTCTGTGGACATAAGTTTTCAACCCATTTGAGTAAATACCAAGGAGCACAATTGCTGGATCATATAGTAAAAGTATACTTAGTTTTATAAGAAACTGCCAAACTGGATTCCAAAGAGGCTGTACCAGTTTGCAGGCCCACCAACAATGAAGGATAGTGCCTGTTGCTCTATATCATAACTATGCTTAGTGTTGTCAGTGTTCTGGATTTTGGCCATTCTAATAGGTGTGTAGTAGTATCTCATTGTTTTAATTTGCACATTTCCCTGATGACATATGATGTTGAACACCTTTTCACATGCTTACTTATCTTTTTCATTTCTTTGGAAAGGTGTCTGTTCAGACATTTTGTCCATTTTTAAGATGAGTTGCTTGTTTTCATATCGTTGAGTTTTAAGAGTTCTTCAGATGCATTTTTTTTCCTTTTTTTTTTTTTTTTTTTTGAGACAGAGTCTCACTCTGTTGCCCAGGCTGGTCTGGAACTTCAGCATAGCTCACAGCAACCTCAAACTCCTGGGCTTAAGTGATCCTCCTTCCTCAGCCTCCCAAGTAGCTGAGACTACAGGTGCTCACCATCATGCCTGGTTAATTTTTCTATTTTTAGTAGAGATGGGGTCTCACTCTTGCTAAGGCTGGTCTTGAAATCCTGATCTCGTGCAGTCCTTCTGCCTCTGCCTCCCAGAGTGCTAGTATTATAGGCGTGAGCCACCAGGCCTGGTCTCATTCTTTATAAATCGAGGTTAATGCTTTCCTCCAAAGCAGATAAGATGAGAGGATTACGTGAGATATGAATGAATGACAGTGCCTATGAAAAGTACTCAGCATTATCTCATTTAATTCTTAACACTACCCCTTCTCATTTTTCTCTTGTGATTCATTTAATTATTTTATCTAATTTAATTCTCACACCTCCTTGGAACCTGGGGCTTGGTGGAGTAAGCCCCATGGATAATTTATTGGGCTCTCATCTCTAGGCTTTTTTTTTTTTTCCTTGCTTTTTTTAAATTCAAGACCAATTTATTCTCAAGTTTTCCCAACACAGAAATACTCTCCTTAAAGTATATCAAATCTTTCCATTCACTTTAAAACCTCTTGCTTAAAATTCCAACTGTAGTGTCCATATCCCTAATGCTAATCCTTTTTTTTTTTTCTTTTTTCCTTTTTCACTCTTGCCGGGGCTGGAATACAGCGGCATCATAGCTTACCATAACCTAAAACTCATGGGTTAAAGTGATCCTCCTGCCTCAGCCTCCTGAATAGCTGAGACTACAGGCATGAACCACTGGCTAATTTTTAAATTTTTTGTAGAGTCAAGGTCTCACTATGTTGCTCAGGCTGGCTTCGAACTCCTGGCCTCAAGGATTACTCCTCAAGTAATCCTTGAGGTGGGACTTTAAAAGAGGTGATTAAAGTAATACAAAGTTTCTTCTATGCCATTGTAAAAAAAAAAGAAAAGAAGAAAAAATAAAAAAAATAAAGTAATACAAAGTCTTTCTGCATGGGGCAGTCCCACCAGGTGCCCCCAGGTAGCTGTGGTACACTCCCACGCAGGCAGATGGATTGAGGTCACAGGCAGGCGGGCGGACCAGCATCGCCCTTGGAATAAAAGCAGAATACAGACCACAGCTGCGCGGCCTGGGGCTGGCGGGCCTCAGACACTGCTGGCGCTTGGTCCCAAGGCGGCAAAGACCACGGCTGCACCTCTGTCCCCCCTGGACTCCAGGTCTTGACGCCGGCTGGTCATTCTGGCCAATGCTCACACCATAAGCCGATCTTCACAGGTTGACAGTCATGTTCCTACCCAAGATCCCAGCATCCCTCACGGGTGTAGCTGCCAGCAAGCGAACTCCCCTGGGACACAGCCGCTCCTCCTCTGTGTCGTCCCCGCTCCCCCCCCCCCCCCCCCCCCCCCCCCCCGCGTCGCTGCCTACACCCTCCTCTTTCTCATTTGGTGTTTCACTGATGATGAACAAGTTAAAAATATACCACTCTGAAGCAAGTAGGTGCAAGAAAATCATTCTAACCTCCCTCTGTTTCCTAAAAGCAGGAGATGGAATTCCCACGTGAAAGGTATCCTCCCTATACTAGAAGGGACTCAGGATTCTTACTAAGGACAGGAAGTCAGGAGTGAGAGAATCCTGAACAGATCCTGTTCGAACAACTCTTCTTTTAAGCCTCCTCACATATTTGAGTTGCTTTTTAAAATTTATTATTCTTACTATTACTAATATTATTTTTTAATATGCTTTGTTCAATTCAGTATGTGTAAGTAACTGACCATAACTGCTTCTTTGTGTCTTCATTTCTTTTTGTTTGTTGGTTTGGTTTTCTTTTGTTTGGAAATAGGGTCTCACTCTGCTGCTGGGGCTAGAATACAGTGACATCATCACAGCATAATGCAACCTCAAATTCTCAGGCTCAAGCGATCTTTCTGCCTCAGCCTTTGGAGTAGCTGGAACTACAGGCGTGCACCACCATGCCTGGCTAACTTTTGTATGTTTTGTAGAGACAAGATCTTGCTATGTTACCCAGCCTGAGTCTTGAACTCCTGGTCTCAAGCAATCCTTCCTCCTCAGCTTCCTAAAAGTGCTGGGATTACGTGTGTGAGCCACTGCACCTGACTGGGGTCTTCATTTCTTTATGAAGGCTCCTGTGCCATGTAAAACTTGTATTAAGTAAATTTACATGCTTTTCTCTTATTTATCTGTCTTATGTCAATATATTCTTAGACCCAGCCCAAAGAAAACTTACTATGGCCTAGCAATTTGTTATGTGTTTCCCTAATCATCTCATTTAACTTCCACTATACTATTAATATCCCTATTTTGTTGAGGACACTGAGATTCAGGTAAAATACTTTGCCCAAGGTCACCCAGCTATTAAATGAGACAAGGCCTGTATTCAAACTCTGCTTTTATTTAGCTCTAGCGCCTATGCTGTTAACCATTAACTATACAAAATGCTTCTTCTGGGAGGTCTGCTCAGTTGGCAGGCTTAACCAGGAGTCTCCTCCTCTAGGTAAGCTCTTGAGGCCTGCACTTTGTCTCAGCCACCTTTATTCCCCCACCGCCTGGCACTGTGCTAGCCACATCCTGAGCTCTTCAATTCATTCTTTCTACAAATATTTATGGAGCGTTTCCTATGGACCAGGCACTATACCAGAGTTAGGGAAATAAAACAGTTTTGCCAACAAAGACCCCTTCATACCAATACACAGAGAACCTAACTTTAACATTGGGTGAGGGCCGGGCGAGCAGGCGCGGTGGCTCACGCCTATAATCCTAGCTCTCTGGGAGGCCAAGGCAGGCGGATTGCTCGAGGTCAGGAGTTCGAAACCAGCCCGAACAAGAGCAAGACCCCGCCTCTACTAAAAATAGAAATAAATTAATTGGCCAAATAATATATATAGAAAAAATTAGCCGGGCATGGTGGCGCATGCCTGTAGTCCCAGCTACTCGGGAGCCTGAGGCAGGAGGATCACTTGAGCCCAGGAGTTCCACGTTGCTGTGAGCTAGGTCGATGCCATGGCACTCACTCTAGCCTGGGCAACAAAGCGAGACTGTGTCTCAAAAAAAAAAAACATTGGGTGAGCATTATCAGAGTTAAATACATGTAAGGTAGAAAGAAAGTGACTGCAAAGTCTGGACATAACTTTGTTTTTTTTTTTTTTTTTTTTTTTAGGCAATTACAAGATGAATGGACATAACTTTGTACAGCTTTAGAGAAAAACAGAAGAGACAATTAAAACTTCTTTCTCCTTGAGAGGTAAGAGGATGCACCTTGTTACAACCTTGCACCACACAAGTCTTGCCAGCAAGCCTCGAACTACTTCCCGAGGTTAAGTTTACAGTTCTAAGACTCAGAAGGCCTCTATTTGCATTGCAGTAGAGGTAAAGCCTTCTATCAGGTTTATTACGTTTTCAAGAAGACAACTAAAGAGCGGAGGTGGGCAGTCAGCCGCTTTCCTCCGCAAAGAAAAGTTCCCCCATGGCAACCTTCCACCAGTCGCTGGGGTCGCAGCGTTGCAGACGCGGCCCTGCTCCCCAGGGACTTACACTGATACAACTTCAGACCGAGGTCAGTGGTCTGGGAGGAGGAGGACCGCTTCCTGTAGGGAGGTCAGGCAAAGCCTCTATAAAGAGATGAACTTTGAGCTGGAATTTTGGAGCTTTAATAAACGTTTAAAGAGCGAACGGAATGATTGACAACTGACGATCGACCTAGCGGTTGCCAGGGAACCAGAAAACGTGTCTCTTTGTCATCGATTGTTATGAAAAGGAGGAAGGGAAAAGAAACGAAACCTAGAGGACTATTCAGGAACGGTGCTTTCGCGGCTCTCAGGCTAAACAAGGGGTTCCCACTACGACGTCCGTCGCCTGGGGCCGAAAGGAAACGGGGAACCCAAGGACAACCGAGTCCGGACAGCGGCTGGGGGCGGGGCCACAGCAGGGCGGGACTACGGAAGCCGAGAGGGCGTGGGCCGTTCGGCGGAGGAAGTGTGCACACGCCAGCAACGCCGGGGCGGGATTTGGTTCCTCCCTCGCAGTCGGGCCGCCTACGCCGTGCTCCCCGCCCACACCCGCAATTATTTCTGTTGTTGCAGCCACTGCCCCAGCGGAGACGCAGCGTCTTAGTCGCTGGGAAGCTTCTGCTGGGTCAGCGGCAAGAGGGAACCCACGCAGCGTATCATCGGCGCCGCCCGGGCCCTGGTGCGCCGGGCCCGCCGGCAGACCTCACGGCCGTCTCCCGGCTGGTCCGGGGGTCCGGGCACCGCCTCGACGGCGGCTCCCCTGGACGCGCAGACCGGACCGCAGCCCGTATCCGAAGCGGACGGCGTCATGAGGCACCTGCCGTACTTCTGCCGGGGCCAAGTGGTGCGGGGCTTCGGCCGCGGCTCCAAGCAGCTGGGCATCCCCACAGGTGAGAGCTGGGCGGCCAGAGTCCTCCGGGTCGGGTCACATGACGGGGGGAAGTCGTCTGCCAGAGGACTCGGGACCAGGTCTTGGGCTGAGGTGACACCCTTTCTCCGCCTTGGCCCCGCTTTGGGCAGAAGACCTTTGGTCCGGTTGAGGGAACTCTCCCTTCCCCAGGCTCAGAGCTCAAGGGAGAGTGGAGTGGAGGGGTGGTGAGGGCAGGAAGTCAGGTGAGTCGCAGGACCTGCCTTTCATGCTTCCTTGTCCGACCAAGATATGTCTATTTCTGTGTACATTAGTTTTAGTAATCAAGACCTGTTTAATTCATTCTTACCTCCATACCAGGACTGCCTCTTTGCCTTTTAAATCAGTCTTTCAGCTTGGGGCCTAGGCTTGTGTATTTTGAAAGTGAGAATCTTTTCAAATGATTTGGAAACCTTCTTAGGAAAGAGCAGGTCTTAAAAAATTTATGTTCTTGTATCTGTTTTTTTCTTCTACCCTAAAAGTGTGGTCTTTTGGGGGAAGCTTTATGCACTCCCCTTGTACTTTTATTTGTAACCCATTCACACAAAGAGGAGAAAGAAATCCGAACCAGAAAATGGAAGGATAAAATTGATAACTATAGGCAAAGTCCTAGGATTCTTGTGAGTGTAATGATTTAGATTAGCTTTACATATGCCTTTTATGAATATTTAATGTGAAACTTGTAATACTCAAAATATTTACTTCTGTTATTTAGCTAATTTTCCTGAACAAGTAGTAGATAATCTTCCAGCTGACGTATCCACTGGCATTTATTATGGTTGGGCCAGGGTTGGAAGTGGAGATGTCCACAAGATGGTGGTGAGCATAGGATGGAACCCGTACTACAAGAATACAAAAAAGTCCATGGTAAGTGTTGTGTTTTGCTCTGTAACTGACAATGGGATGATGATTTAATATGCAGTATTAAATTTATATAGAACTCACCAACCAACAACGGTAACCACAACAGTTCAAATACTAGAATTTTGGGGAGCATACTTGAAGGATTTAAAAATAAAGTATTTAGTTACTGTTTGAATGGAGTATCTTTTTCTGTCCTTTCACTTTCAACCTATTTGTGTCTTTGGATCTGAAATGAGTCTCTTGTAAACGATGTGTAATTGGATCACATTTTTAATCCACTCTGCCAATCTGCTTTTTGATGGGACTATTTAATAATCCAGTTACATTTAAAGTAATTACTGATAAGGAGGGGCTTCTGCTCTTTTGCTGTTTATTTTCTATGTGCCTGATAACTTCTTTGTCCCTCATTTACTTCATTACTGCTTTATGTATTTAGTTGATTTTTTGTAGTGAAATGTTTTGATTGCCTTCTCATTTCCTTTGTATATTTTCTGTAGATATTTTGTTTGTGGTTACCATGGGAATTTACACTTAACATCCTGAAATTCTAAGTCTATTGGAGTTAGTACCAACTTAACTTTAGTAGCATACAGAACTCACAAATTACTTTTTTTTTAAAGAATACTTTTTTGTTGAATAAGGGAGAAAAAGAAAGGGAGAGAAAGCTGTCTGTCCTATGATTAATTTGTCTTTATTAGCTAATCAGAAATGTTACTATAGAGCCAGTTAACGAATGCCTTGGAAGTCGTTTTTTTTTTTTTTTTTTTTTTGAGACAGAGTCTCACTTTGTTGCCCAGGCTAGAGTGAGTGCCATGGTGTCAGCCTAGCTCACAGCAACCTCAAACTCCTGGCTCAAGCAATCCTGCTGCCTCAGCCTCCCCAGTAGCTGGGACTACAGGCATGCGCCACCACATCCGGCTAATTTTTTCTATATATATTGGTTGGCCAATTAATTTCTTTCTATTTATAGTAGAGACGGGTCTCGCTCTTGCTCAGGCTGGTTTTGAACTCCTGACCTGGAGTAATCCACCCGCCTCGGCCTCCCAGAGAGCTAAGATTACAGGCGTTAGCCACCCCGCCCGGCCAGAAGTCTTTTGATACTTAGGAAAAACTCAGTTTTCCACTGGTAAGGTGCTCATACATTTCAGAGTTTGTTTTTTTGTTTTGTTTTTCTTTGCCAGTAACAGACATCTGTGAAGTGCCTATTCAAGTCTTTTTCCCTTTTTATTTTTTTTTTTGAGACAGAGTCTCACTCTGTCACCCTGGCTAGAGTGAGTGCCATGGCGTCAGCCTAGCTCACAGCAACCTCAAACTCCTGGGCTCAAGCAATCCTCCTGCCTCAGCCTCCCGAGTAGCTGGGACTACAGGCATGTGCCACCATGTCCGGCTAAATTTTTCTGTATGTATTACTTGGCCAATTAATTTCTTCCTATTTATAGTAGGGACGGGGTCTCGCTCTTGCTCAGGCTGGTTTCGAACTCCTGACCTCGAGCAATCTGCCCGCCTCAGCCTCCCAGAGTGCTAGGATTACAGGCGTGAGCCATGGCGCCCGGCCTCTTTTTCCCTTTTAAAAATATTGTCTTAGTGACTTGAAGTTCTCAGTACGTATATGCTAGTTCCCAGTCCTTTGTTAGAACTATGTACTGTACTACAAGTTTCTTCCACTGTATTGCTGCTGCTGCTTCTTTTTTTTTTTTAACTCAATGGTGTCTTTTAAAGAACAGAGGCACTTAATTTTAACATAATACAATTCATCATTTTTCTCTTATGGTTAGTGCTTTTTATAATCTATTTAAATCTTTGCCTACTCCAAAGTTATAAAGATACTTGCCTGTTCTAAAAGCTTACTTGACTAATTTTTTACATCAACTTGACTTTTTGAGTATGATGTGTGGTAGGGGTCAAAATTAGCTTTTCCAACAACACTGCAATGTCACTTTGGTCATAAATCAAGTCACCTTTTATTTGTGAGTCTAAAAATATACTCATGCATACTTGGTTTGTTTGTCCATCCTTGGGGCCATTACTGAAGGGTCTTAATTTCCATTGCATTGTAATAGGTCTTGATATCTGATTGTATAAGCCTTCTGGTTTTGTTCTTAAAATTGTTCTGGAAAGTCAATGCCCTGAATTACAGATGAGAAAACTGAGCCCCCACAGAGGCTAGTTACACAGTTACCAAGTGTGGGACCCTACACTTTTGATTCTAAGTCAGTGTTCTTACCACAGTACTACCCGTTTAACTTAGCTGAGCTATAGAGATTCTGGGGCATCCTCTACCTCCTGCTCTATTTTGCTATTCCATTTTGCTTTAACATTCCCTGTTCTCTTTTGTTTCATCACCCCCAATAGGGAAGCTAAGCTACTTCCTGCCCCTTATATCAGTCAGTCTTTGCCTAACTGTAAGTGGTTGCCATGCTTGGTATGTGTCAGAGACATGTGCATCCTGACTGACTGTAGAACTAATTGTTTAATTAACATCCTTTAATACTCTCTTCTTCGTCCCTCTTTGGTGTCTTTGTACCTAGGTAAAACTCCTATTGCCTTTGAAACACATCAGGTTTTTTTCATTAGCAACAGCCCATGCCAGATTTGTGATATTGATATAACATATATTACCTCAGTCGGTTATGTTTACATGTAGCATTGGGTAGAAACAGGACTGAGGGGAGAATTAAGGTAGCCTGCCATAAACATGAAGATAATATTTCAAAGACATGAAGATAGTATTTCAAATTTCAGATACTTGGTAATGTGATGGTAATCTTTTTAACATTTCTTGACTATAGGAAACTCATATCATGCATACCTTCAAAGAGGATTTCTATGGGGAAATCCTCAGTGTGGTCATCGTTGGCTACCTCAGACCAGAAAAGAACTTTGATTCTTTAGGTAAGCTCTTATTTTGATCTTCTTAAATCTTACTACTGCTACCACAGCTACTTCTGCTGCCACTAGTGGTAATAACGATGGCAGGACAGATGATATTTGAGCATTTAATATATGCCAGGTACTGTTTTAACCACCTTACATGAATTTAACTCCTTTCATCCCCCACAACAACCATATGAGAAATTATTTTGTGTATTTTGCAGATGAGGAAATTGGCACAGAGAGGTTAAATAACTTTCCCAAAGTCACATAGTAAATGACAAAGCCTAGATTCAAACTCAGTGGGCAGGCTGCCTCACTCCAACAGTGTGAATTTATGATATCCTTCAAAATGTTTGAAGTAGGACCAGCATGGTGGCTCACTCCTATAATTATAGCACTCTGGTGGGAGGCCGAGGGTATGCAGTTTCCTATAGTCAAGGAAATGTTAAAAAGATTACCATCACATTCACAAGTATCTGAAATTTGAAATACTATCTTCATGTCTTTGAATATTTCTTCATGTTTATGGCAGGCTACCTTAATTCTCCCCTCAGTCCTGTTTCTACCCAATGTACATGTAAACATAACCGACTGAGGTAATATATGTTATATCAATATCACAAATCTGGCATGGGCTGTTGCTAATGAAAAAACCTGATGTGTTTCAAAGGCAATAGGAGTTTTACCTAGGTACAAAGACACCAAAGAGGGACGAAGAAGAGAGTATTAAAGGATGTTAATTAAACAATTAGTTCTACAGTCAGTCAGGATGCACATGTCTCTGACACATACCAAGCATGGCAACCACTTACAGTTAGGCAAAGACTGACTGATATAAGGGCAGGAAGTAGCTTAGCTTCCCTATTGGGGTGATGAAACAAAAGAGAACAGGGAATGTTAAAGCAAAATGGAATAGCAAAATAGAGCAGGAGGTAGAGGATGCCCCAGAATCTCTATAGCTCAGCTAAGTTAAACGGGTAGTACTGTGGTAAGAACACTGACTTAGAATCAAAAGTGTAGGGTCCCACACTTGGTAACTGTGTAACTAGCCTCTGTGGGGGCTCAGTTTTCTCATCTTGTAATTCAGGGCATTGACTTTCCAGAACAATTTTAAGAACAAAACCAGAAGGCTTATACAATCAGATATCAAGACCTATTACAATGCAATGGAAATTAAGACCCTTCAGTAATGGCCCAAGGATGGACAAACAAACCAAGTATGCATGAGTATATTTTTAGACTCACAAATAAAAGGTGACTTGATTTATGACCAAAGTGACATTGCAGTGTTGTTGGAAAGCTAATTTTGACCCCTACCACACATCATACTCAAAAAGTCAAGTTGATGTAAAAAATTAGTCAAGTAAGCTTTTAGAACAGGCAAGTATCTTTATAACTTTGGAGTAGGCAAAGATTTAAATAGATTATAAAAAGCACTAACCATAAGAGAAAAATGATGAATTGTATTATGTAAAATTAAGTGCCTCTGTTCTTTAAAAGACACCATTGAGTTAAAAAAAAAGAAGCAGCAGCAGCAATACAGTGGAAGAAACTTGTAGTACAGTACATAGTTCTAAAAAGGACTGGGAACTAGCATATACGTACTGAGAACTTCAAGTCACTAAGACAATATTTTTAAAAGGGAAAAAGAGGCCGGGCGCGTGGCTCACGCCTGTAATCCTAGCACTCTGGGAGGCGGAGGCGGGCAGATTGCTCGAGGTCAGGAGTTCGAAACCAGCCTGAGCAAGAGCGAGCA